GTCCTCATGTCTCCATCCTGTCCTCATGTCTCATCCTGTCCTCATGCCTCATCCTGTCCTCATGTCTCCATCCTGTCCTCATGTCTCCATCCTGTCCTCATGTCTCATCCTGTCCTCATGTCTCCATCCTGTCCTCATGTCTCCATCCTGTCCTCATGTCTCATCCTGTCCTCATGTCTCATCCTGTCTGCATCATCAGACACGATGCTGGGTGCATGGCTTGTTTTGGATCATAGAGGACAGTAGATGTCCCCTCAGTCTTGAGACGTGTCTCAGTCCAACGTGAGCAGACTGGGGGGACTGATGGAGGTCTGATGGAGCCCCTGTCTGCTCTACATGCAGCTCTCATGGGTTTCTGCAGCTTATTCTGCTGCTAACATCAATCCAGCCTCTCTTTCACCTGCTGAAGAAAGGCAAAGGTGGACGACAATGTTTTTGCTGGTGTCTGTTAGCAWAACATCCCACAAACCACTCAGTAAATACTAATGAAATTTGCAACAATCAGTCACTGAATGTGTATCTATAACTGATCATCTGTTGGAGTCAACTTGATTCAAGATGGCCTCCATAGACAACTGATATTAAAAAAATCACAAAAAGGAATAAAACCAGGACAGTTTAACACAAAATGACCTCAAATTTGGTGTGGTAGTAGCTGAGACTGATCCTTAACACACATTTAAGCAATAATAGACTGCGCATCAACACAGTCTTTCTGTTAACAAAATATCTCATGAACCACTGGATAGAAACCATTGAACATGTCAGTAACTGAAGACTGGGTGTTTGAATTTAAATGGTTACATTTTGAATCACAGCTGATCAACCACAGCAAAAACAAAAACTGTCACTTCTGCAGATATGAAGCTATCTGATGGTAGTCGCTGAGAGTTATCTCTATCAGAGTCACATGACATTATTCATACCATTATTTAAAACTTTATAAAACTAATGACATTTGATCAAAACAACAACTCAAAGATGATCTTTAATTTATGCAAACTGCTTTTGGTTGTGAACAACAATCAGTTTAGAAAATAATCCTGTTTGATTTGGATAAGAGGAGGAGGTACAGGTATCTTGGACTTGCACCTGTCCAGATGTCTCTGTGATGGACTGAGACATGTCCAGATGTCTCTGTGATGGACTTACACCTGTCCAGATGTCTCTGTGATGGACTGAGACATGTCCAGATGTCTCTGTGATGGACTGAGACATGTCCAGATGTCTCTGTGATGGATGTTTGGAGTAGATCTGGAGTCAGTGATTGACACAAAGATCAGATCTGATCAGATCAGCAGGTTCATGATGGAAACTTAGTCAAGATCAAATGTGCTTTACTGCAACAAGGACTGGATTACTGACAACATGAAGACATTTAACACACACACACGCACACACACACGCACACACACGCACGCACATACACACACACACACACACCAGGTGCTTTGTTTATAGGTCTTCTTGTGTCCTGTGGGCTGAGGACAGAGGTTGCATTCTGCAGCAATAAATATTTCAGCTCTCCCACATGGTGTTGTTGTTGTTGTTGTTGTTGTTGTTGTTGTTGTTGTTGTTGTTGTTGTTGTTGTTGTTGTTGTTGTTGTTGTAATTATTGCAGAGGTCTTTCTCAGAAACTAGTCATGTCAACATTTAATCCTTTCCTGGTAGTTGTTGTTTGAAAATTAACTGAGTTCAGACTCAGTGTGAGGGTGAATCATTAAAGCTGTCAAAAATCACACAGTAACAGGTTGTTAAGATAAGGCTGAGTCAGCAGAACTGAAGACAAACAGCTTCAGATTTTCAGACAGGCAGGTGCTGCAGTAAAATCCCTCCCACTGGACATAGTCTGACACGTGAGACCAGTTTGAGTTCTGTTTAAGTTTATTTTTTTAATTTTGTGTAACAGTATCAACATGTAATCTAGCCCGGTACTTAGTTGTATCTACTATAACTTACTGATATGTACCTGGCATGGTGCTTACCTAGTACATATACACTTTGTACCTGGCACACATACCAATGTGTATCTGGTACAGTAGATGCTACATAACATGTACATACCAAGTAAGTAGCTTGTACTTAGATGTTGCCTACCTGTTACATACCAATGTGTATCTGGTACCTACAGCAGATGCTACTTACCTTGTACATACCAAGTAAGTAACTTGTACTTTGATGYTACTTAMCAATACATRGCTAGTAAGTAACTGGTACTTATATACTACTTACCTGGTACGTATCAACATGTACCTGGTATTTAGATGCTACTTACATAGTACATACCAAGTAATTAACAGGTACTTGGATACTACTTACCCAGTACATACCAATGTGTACCTAGTATTTAAATACTACTTACCTTTTACATACCAATAAGTAACTTGTACTTAGATGTTACCTACCTGGTACAAAGAAGCTACTTACCTTCTAAATGCAAGTATGTGCCCAGTACTTATTAGGTAAATACCTGGTACTTACCAATGTGTACCTGATATGTAGGTGCTACTTACCTAGTACATACCAAGTAAGTACCAGGTACATAGATGTTATCTACCAGGTACTAACTGGTAACTGTAAGTAACTGGTACTTAGATGCTACTTACCTGGTACATAGCAAGTAAGTACCTGGTACTTACATGTTACCTAAATGGTACATACTAACTATGCTACTTACCTTGTACATGCCAAGTAAGTAACTGGTACTTAGATGCTACTTAACTGGTACATAGCAAGTAAGTACCTTTTACTTTGATGCTACATACCTAATACTTACCAAGTAAGTACCTGGTACTTACATGTTACCTAAATGGTACATACTAACTATGCTACTTACCTTGTAATGCCAAGTAAGTAACTGGTACTTAGATGCTACTTAGCTGGTACATAGCAAGTAAGTACCTTTTACTTTGATGCTACATACCTAGTACTTACCAAGTAAGTACCTGGTACTTACATGTTACCTAAATGGTACATACCAACTATGCTACTTACCTTGTACATGCCAAGTAAGTAACTGGTACTTAGATGCTACTTAACTGGTACATAGCAAGTAAGTACCTTTTGCTTTGATGCTACATACCTAGTACTTACATGTTACCTAAATGGTACATACCAACTATGCTACTTACCTTGTACATGCCAAGTAAGTAACTGGTACATAGAGGCTACTGATCTGGTGTATACCAATGTGTATCTGGTATTTAGAGTCTACTTATTTAGTACATACCAATGTGTACCTGGTACCTACATGTTACTTACCTGCAAAGTACGTACCTGCTTTGTAGTAGTCTGTATTATGTGCTACCTACATGTATGTAACTAAATAACAGGAAGTGTCAGGAAGTGGACTTGTGTGATTCTCAGTTACTCCAGTGAGACAAGAAGAGAACCAGGGTCAGAAGAGATGTGAAAGCTGCTGCTAGTGGCTTCATCTGGTTAACATGGTAACCACACACCTGTGCCTGTCACTCCCTGACAGACTGCCATAAATATGGAGTAGAAAGGGTGCCACAGTCAGTCACTTTGTTGTTTTGTTAAAGAAGAGAACATCTGAAGTGAGACACACTGGATCTGATGGACGACCTGTTTAAGGAGCGTAAAGATTCAGGAGGTTGAAGAGTAAAATGAACTTTAAACAGGAAAACAATAGTGTGAATTATGAGTCAGCATTTAGATAGAACTTAATGAGAGCAGTCCTCGTTTTCTCAGTATTTAATGAAAACTAACAGGTTTATTCTTGTATAAATGAGTCTACAGGGTTGGGCAGACACAGGATAGAGGATCAGAAGCAAAGGAGAAAAATGTATCAGGACTTGAAAGAAGCTGTGAGTGAACACAGAGTACAAACAGATTCAAATCAAACATGTAGTGATGGGACGGAAATAAAAANTTCTGTTTATATTGTACATGGCAGAGACATTGTTTGTTGGGCTCATCCTTCACTCCTTTATAAAGATCTGAATGTGTCCCACAGAGCAGACTGTTGTGGGCCAGGTCTGGCAATGATGACAGTATCTATATGATATCATGCCACAACTGGCCCAGTTGTAATTTGGTTTATGTGATGCTGGCCCAGGCATGGACCACTTCTAGGCCACCACAAGGCAGTCATTCGCTGCCTGTGTTATTACTGTGTTGTGTGGGCCTGACCTGGGCCAGAGAAATGTTGCTCTGTAAGGTTATCATGTTATATTAAAGTGAATGAATCATTTTACAAAGAAACATCATCAGATCTTGAATTGCTGCTGTAAAAACTTTATCACCAACATGGATTTACTGCCAGTAAAAAGAGGGAAAGCAAACGACATCATCACCTTTAACTCAGGATAAAAGTATTTTCAGTATTTTTGGGACAGTAATTATCAACTGGTGCTGAGCCCGGCCACTCATACAGAGGAAGCTCATTTTGGCCGCTTGTATCCAGGATCTTGTTTTTTCAGTCATGATCAACGACTTATGATCATAACTGAGGGTTGGAACGTAGACGGGCCAGTAAATCGAGTGCTTTGCCTTTTGACTCAGCTCTTTCTTCACCATGACC